ACTTCTGTTAGCCTGGCATTGCATATGGAAAGAAATCCAAGCACCAGCATATGACATATGCACATAATCTAATAAATACAGATGGCGCATGTTCCCATGAGAGTGTGGATTGATGTAGGTGCACTATCCCTAGTATTTTCATTACTATGTACCTTGGTGTGAGGATTGCAATGCTATCAAATGTGGTAACAGCATCTTCACCTCCAGCACCAACATCTGCCATTGACATGATTTTGTCACGAAAAACCTACATAATATTCAATTAGAAAAGATGAATAAATCAATTGCAATCAATGAAAAAAATGACCTACAAAACTCTCATCACGTATAAAAAACAAACTCACCTGAGCAGGAGGATGACTCTCGTCACCAACAAATTGAGTGTTGGAGTTAGGTATATGAAAGCTTATTTCCATCAAAGAATCTTTCTGTAGTAAATATAACACAAAAACAAAAATACTCATAAGCAAACAACTCAGGATGGACCTAATAATTACTCAATTTTAACTACAAAAAAACTAGATTTTATGACAAAGAGAGCTTATATCTAACTGAGTATCTATAGAACCATAAGGATCGATGTAGAAAACTCCCACCATCTTTAGAAAAAATAAAAGAAACACCAAATATAAGCAACAAACCTCATTAGCTCCTGTTGTATCATCCACGTGGAACTCTAAGATGACATCATTTTTCCCCTGAAGTTGTGTTTGTGAGACATCAGCCAAAGATACCTCAAATGCTTGCTTGGAGTCAACCAAGAAAGTCAGCATATTCCCTGCGAAATAACAGAATATCTGAAAATCATCCAAAATGATACATAGCAGTGTACTGCTTTAACAACCCAATGAGGCAACCAACAGAATCATATCATCAGAGAAGGAATCGTCCATGGAGGAAATGTAAAGAACATCAAAACAGAACTGCAGAAGACCATTTTTTAAGGATACTAAACATATGCAAAGGAAATGTCCAGTCGCTCTAAGACTCCACAAAAGACACATAAAGGTTTAGGTTGAAAAAAAGAGAAAAACAAAAGAACCAACTTCTAGCAGTTTCAGCTGCACATTATGTTTAAAGATGTAGCCAGCTGGAAGCATTTTCCTAACTGTCATCCTATGAGAATCTATCCGCACACCAAAAAATAAGGAAAGAGCAATTTACAAGAAAAAATTGTTCATAACAAAGAATGCAAGGAAGACCAAAACAAGTGATCACAGGCAACTTGAATATAAGAGAACATTACTGACCACTTAAATCGACTTCTCCCCAATTACGTCCGCTGACAGAAAGTTGCTTCTCTGCCGGTGTTAACCCACATGTATTTTGAAAATAATTGGTCAGACTAGTGACATCCTGCAATGCAAGAACAGAATCAAAGAGCCAACAATTAGTATGTAGTTCATATCCCTGCACAGCATCACTGACTAAAAGCTAATTTTTTAGTCTATCATAGTTTTATGAATCAAAATCGCAATTCGCATGTCTCAGATGCATGGGAAAAAAAAAAGCAGTTTAGTCATCACCTTGTGAAACAAGTTCTTATGGACGCACATTTGATAAATAAGAATTTTTGTAACATATTAAACAACAACATAAGACAGGAAGTGGGTCAGTGAATAATTCCATGTAAATATTCACCAACCTGGTCACGAAATCCAATGAACTTGTAGTATAACCCATCTTTAATCTGAACACTAAGTTGGTTAGTCTTTGGGACCTTCATCCATGTTACCCCAACAATGTCAGCTTTATCAACCTCAACTGCTTTACCCCCTCCCTGTTTTTTCCATAAAATCCCTCCTGAAAATATTTTTAGCTGCCCCGGATTCTGCATTCCACATATGAAACAACGAGTGAGTTTACATTTCCTCCATAGCTGAATCACCACTTCAGGTTTCACCATTTCAACAAATTCACAAATCTGAATATAAAGCAATAAACTTCTACCGAATGCAATCAAATTAGGGTTTTACAAGGAAGAAACTTGGGAAAAGGAACAATTTTCATGGCAACCAAACAGAGGATAACCCAAATTTCTCGTCACAAAAAGTGAAAGAATTTACTCAAAATTAAATTAATGGAAATTCAACGCGAACACCTGAAACAAAAATACGATTTCCTTATCCCCCAACCCTACGATTCCTGCTCTGCACAAAATTAATAATTACAAATTTCCCCACAACAAAATTGCACAAAAATCACAGAAATCCAGGAAGGAACAAATTAGGGTTTCAATTGGACCAGTAGAAAGAAAACCCAGCAATCGGAATCCCCAAAATCCTCATTTCAACACGAAATTCGACCAACCCATATAAACCGAGACCACCTACATTCCCAAATCAAAGAGGACCCATTCATATCGCGCTGCGAAATTTCGGAAGGCAAACCCCCGATCGAAGAACGAAATCCCAAAAAGTCAAGCTACGGCGAATCGGAATCGGGAAGAGAGACTCACCGTACCGCCGCGGCCGCCGAGGGAGATATTGTTGAAGAGGTGGCCGTCCGTCATAGTTTATCACTATCGAGGAATCGAACCCAAGCTGCGGTTTTAAGTTTCGAGCATGAGAGTACGAAATAGTGAAGAAAGTAAGAGAGAGGGAGTGTGCGTTTGATAACGAGACGGTGGGAGGGGGGGCGGTGCGCGCCAATTCAGAAGCGATTTTGGTGTTGCGCCGTTATTTTGAAACCCAAGGAAGCCCAACTATAAACTAATTGGGCTGGGTCGGTATCTAGCCCGTTCACAGGCCCGGTTGTACGGATTTAATTTATTTTTTTTTTTTTTTTTTTGGTACAATGAAGTTTTAATTATCGATTGAGTTCAAGTGCGGTAATTCCTCTTCACTTGTGAGTGAGAGGTTTTAGGTTCGATTCTCGTTAAAGATGAAGTTGAACCACATTATTACTAGTCATTGTGAGGTTAATCTCACCTCCTCTTCCTTAGTGTAGATAACATCACTTGTTAAAAAAAAAAGTTGTAATCAGTATTTTTATCATAAAAAAGAAATGTATGTGGAACTCATATATTGAAAGGAAGTGTGTAACTAGTGAAGTTAGTTTTGTGTCTCTAAATAATATCATTTTTCGATATGTGATATGATAGAGGAGAGTCGTGCATGAGTACATGCTCTTAACAGCTTGAGAATCAAATGTTAGACCAAACATGCAACACCTCATGCCCCCCGTTTCACCATTGGCGTCGGTCATACCCACCACCATCTCTCACTTTCTCCTTCATCGACCATTGTTAATACCACAGTACATAGTAAAAGTTGTTCACGAATTCCATAGTGTTATAAGTCAAATGAGTCAAGGTTACGTGAGAAAGAGAGAATTCCCACGCATGTGATATGTCATCGTGGCATCCGGCCGGCCAATAAACGCGATGTCATTTGAGAACATGGAAACACATCATCACGTTATTAGTCCATGATGTGACCGTGACATACCAAAGCGTAGCTAAGTCCTCCGATTTAAATAATTCCTGGCAACAGCAAGCAAAGAGTCAATATGTTTCAAACTTTCAAGTACTCAGCAACGTAATGTCTCCAAGACTCCGAAATTTCAACCCAAGTTTATTAGAGGCGACGGAGACTCATGATCAATATAGCACCACCCATTTCACCGCTTGATCTTGTAATTACCCGAACCCTTTGATCACTTACTACGACCTTCCCAAAGGAAGAGTTCATAAAGCTCAAATCCTTTCTGGTTTTTGAGTTGGGAAGAAGAAGAGGGGGTTTCAGCAAGTATTGGTTTTCCATAAGCTTCTTTGTTTTGGCGGGTATTCAAACTTTATCTAAAGTAAATAATTAGTTTTCAGTTTTGCTATTTTGTTGAATTTTTCGTTTATTTAGGCTAAAAATAGTCCATTGGATACAAGAAACAGGAGAAGACATCCATTATCGGTTAACTACGAAACTACACGTATATAACTAATAGTATCAACTTAAATAATTTTAAAACTCACAACATCGAGCCGCATTTTTGCTAGTATATACTGACAGTACAATTAACAAGTTCATTATCAGCTGTAAAATAATATATATTATTATTTTCAAAGAATATTTTCAAATTATATTATATCAAGAACATTATTATTATTTTCAAAGCATCTAATTTCCTAGAAAACACCGTCGGATCCGTATAGGGAGCAAACTCCATAGATATCAGCCGCAAAAAAGCATCAGAATCGGAATGTAATTAAACATATTAGTTAAAAAGTAATTAAACATAAACAGTCCTAACTCTCCGATGAGCCCTAAGGAATGCCAGAATCAGAAACCGCCCTACTGTTTTAAAAATCATTATTTCTACAAACATTCCATCTTCAAAGTGGTTATCTTGATTTTTCTAGAGTGTTCTGGTTATATATATACATATAATACATACACAGACATATATATAAAAATAATAAGATAAACATGGTTGGCTACAATGACCAAGGTCAGCACACGCATTCTTTTTTTTATCTCTTATGTTTGTTGGATTGTTTTAGTCACTTTCTGCCAGCTGCCTGAAACTTGTTCGATATGCGAGTAATTAAACCTGTTGGATCATCAGTTATATTTTACAATGCTATTATGTGCACGTCTCTCTTATATCATGTGATTAGATAGAAACACAGTTGCATATAACTAGTAACATCGAAGAATCTCGCACCGTAAATATTGGTAGTAGAATAAGAGCAAAATGAGGTTTATGAGTTTTAGAAATCACATATGAACAAATAAACAGTGGATAAATTTTGGGATTTATTTTTTACTATTGAAAAGTTAGTTGAGTCTAACTTATCTAATCACTGTAGATGTAAATCAAGTCAGTTCATAAGAAACGTGCATATATATGTAGATTAAATCAGTTTATCACGACAATGTGTCAGCTGATTTTATTGCGCCCGAGTTTGAATCCTCCTTGCACAAAGTCGAATAGTTTGAAATATGGTAAAAAATAAATGATTATCTAATTATTAGTGAATGGACGAGAAAACCCTTCAAGAATTGAAACTGGCATGAAACCTTGCACATGCTATGACTGGCATGCCGCATGCAGCAGCTAGCAACGAACCGGCCATATGAGCAACTCCAAAACCACATGGATCCATTAGAATTTTGGATCTTTGTGTTTACTTACTTACCAGAGTACGGACATTCAAAATTTTCTTAGAAGCTTTGATTTCATCGTTCCCCTAGTTTTTTGACCCAAAACAGTTGTGGCAACACAAAACAAAAACAGCATAAATCCAAAACAAGCACACAAATTATATATACGTTCAAATCCTTCCTTCAGGTTCAAGCAACCACGGAAACAAGGACCACAGAAACAAAGAAAGAAGAGTAAAAAAAAAAAAAATCTGATCGAGATGGAGTTGATGATGGTGAAGAATGAAGAAAACCGTGGGAGGCGCCGCCTGAGTGCAGCAGACCGCGAGGTTCAGGCAGCCCGGTGTGTCAAGAGAAGGAGACGAGACCCACCTGCAGTCACGGTTAGTTCTGACAACAACCAGATTGAGCTACAGTTGCCTCAAAAGCCGGCTGATCAAACTCCTGCTACCACCATGAAGAGAAGCTCGAGATTTCGTGGTGTCAGCAGGTTAGAACAGAACAAAAGTTCCAATGGTTTTCTGGTTTCTTCTTTTGTGTGTAAAAATATTAAGGTAATTTGTTTGTTTAACAGGCATCGATGGACTGGTCGATTCGAAGCTCACTTGTGGGATAAGCTCTCTTGGAATATAACACAGAAGAAGAAAGGGAAACAAGGTATAGATTATAACGTCCATTTTTTTTTCTTTTTTAATTTTACTTCATTACGTTTAATTATTTATCCTTCTGGTATTGATATCTTGTGTTCTATCGTATCGCTTTTGAATGGGCTATTTGGACTGAGCAGTTTACCTTGGAGCTTATGATGAAGAAGAATCTGCTGCAAGAGCATATGATCTAGCTGCGCTTAAGTATTGGGGAGCATCGACCTTCACCAACTTCGCAGTACGCATTTTTCGCTCATCGCATCTGATCGGCAAGTTATGTGTTTTTGTATTCTTTTGGAAGTTTAACATAAAACCCTACTGCATACAGATATCGGACTATGAGAAAGAAATCGAGATCATGCAATCTGTGACGAAAGAAGAGTATTTGGCCTCGTTAAGAAGGTACGACATCAAACATCTTTTTGCAGTAAGACTTCTGCAATTCGGAATTTCCTTGATCATGAGTTTCCTAAAAGATTATTTGTTTCTTTTTTGTTACAGAAAAAGCAGTGGATTTTCAAGAGGTGTATCGAAGTACAGAGGAGTTGCAAGGTAATATTCTTATTATTTTGATGATCTTCGAATCAAATTCTTCGAAAATTATTAACGAGAAAAATGTCTAACGATTATTTGGTGCATATTTTGCAGGCACCATCACAATGGCAGATGGGAAGCGAGAATCGGACGAGTTTTCGGAAACAAGTACCTCTACCTTGGCACTTACGGTAAGTTATCTTCAAATGCAAATACTAGCTAGGAAATTGGGAAATAAGCTTTCACAAAATAGGAAACTGAAAAATAATTTGTGCAGCACGTTTGTTCTTTATTAAAAACGATATATTAACACATTATTGACGATATATCAACAATCAGTTCTTTATTAAAGAACAAACGTCCGCTCCATGGACTATTGAAATCGTAAAAAATAGAATTTGCACATACTGAGCAATGTGTTTCTATGTCATCTCAGGTACGCAAGAGGAAGCAGCTCGGGCCTACGACATTGCAGCGATTGAGTACAGAGGAATCAATGCCGTCACCAATTTTGACTTGAGTTCTTACATAAGATGGTTGAAGCCAAAAGCAGGCGACACCATAGCCACTCAAGAACTAGAGGCAGTCACAGAGCCTCAGAAAATGCCATTCATGGCCAACGGCTACATCCCTGCTGACGAAACATCCTTCCCACACACCAATCCTTTTGCCTCTGACTACCTGAACTCTCCGCGGAACCAAGAAGTCACCCGAAGCAGCACCAATCTTAACACCGGCAGCAAGTCATCCTCTCCCACCGCGCTTGGCCTTCTTCTTCAATCTTCAATTTTCCGAGAGCTGGTTCAGAAGAACTCGAATCTCTCCGAGGATGACAGCACTGACGATGAAGAACCAAAGAACCAACCGCAGGCTGGCAGCAACGAAGAGTATGGTGGGATCTTCCATGCTGGAACCGGCGAAAACCCTTTTGTTTGCTCCTCCGGCACTGACGGCGACAATCCATGGAACAACATCGCAAGCACGATTTTGCTCAATCAACCCACAAAGGCAAATGCTTCGGACTCTCTATTTTTCTTTTCTTAGATGAATGCCAAACAGAACAAGGACTCGTTCGTACGGGAAGAAAATTTTGTAAAAACTGGCGCGTCAAAAGTACATAGTTTGAGATTGATGCAGCATATCGATGTAAATTAGACACCTTAATAACGTCAAGTATATGGTTTTGGGAATGTAATGTCTATAAACTCTTTCGGATTTGCGATAATTTCATCTTGCCTTGCTTTGAATTATGCCTAATCATACGAAAACGAAAGAACCTTTCGATTGAGGAAAGTCATTCAAGCCTGCGTAGACATGAAATCGACAGGTACAATCGTTCTTGCGCAAAAGTGAAGCACAATTGTAAGTTTAACCATTTGATCTCTGTTTTCCAGTTCATTTCTATTCCGTTTCTGCACCAAACACTTCATTCAATTTTTTTTTTAGCCAACCGACTTCTGCAATCCGTGGAACCAAGTGTTAGCTCGCATCTGCTATGGTCTCACACTGGGTTCCACAGATCGTGTATACCTGTGTTGTATAAACGGTTCACATGGAAGTCGGTCTAAAAGAACAACTAAGAAACAACGCCACCATAAAAGTAACACGAACCCTAGAATTCTACGAACAGCATACCGTTAGTGGTAATTCGGTAAGTAAGGAACTCAAAGAAGTAAATGGGCAAAGTAAGAAGTTAAAATGCAGTAAAGTTATGAGCAAAACTGAAGACTAGTGCCTGACATACGAATCGTGTTTCTTACAGAAATACAGTGTAGTATTGAAATCAAAAGATACAATCTTCACATTCCTCTAAGCTTCAAAATTGCTTACGTTTATTTCGAAAGACTTTATCTCGTTTGGAATGAAGATAAAAGGCAAAAATGATAACAAATGCCACCATAAAGATCCCGTTCCATGGAACGGGCGGGTCCTTGAAACATACAAGGGATGCCTCCACGTCTTGGGTGGCTTGATAGACGAGAGACTGCATGGCGTATAGGTCGTGGTCTGAGGCCCGCAAATAAAACAAAGCCATCTCGAAATCCAAAAGTGACATTGCAGAGACTGATTTGTCCAGCTTATACTTGAACAAGTTCCACCTCTGTATGAACTCAACATGTTGACTACGCTTAAGGAGCTTTCTTTCCCCACCATGTGCAGCTAAGGATTCGAGAACATCTACAGCAGTCGATATGCTGTAATTCATTGATGTCAAAAGAACATTTCTCCGAGCAGCATCCTTCTGCACAAATGATAAGGATGAAATCTCAGAGAATGGCCCAAACGGAGTCTGGCCGATACTCCATGTGTAATCCACCAATGTAGTATTGTGCCTAGGGCTCCAGAGGATATGGGTTGGTGACACTCCCCACATGCTCTGCAAAATTGAACCAACAAGCGGTCTCTCAAGCTCTCTTGTTTGCGTAAACACATGATGCCCGTTACAGCTATAATCACTCACAGTCTGCGTGCTCTTTGTCCTCACTGCAATAACCATGTCTTTGAAAGCAACCGATTGGTGATACCTATCGAGTAACAACAGCATGTTGTAGTCCAAATCAAACACATAAACAGGAAGAAACCGACCGAAATCCTCCTCAGCGAACCCTGCCACTCTCCTAAACTCGTCAGCCGAATCAGACAATATTTGATGCAATCGCTTCGAGTCCAAATACTCACTTGCAATCAAAGTATAGTTATCAAACAAGAACCTCGATGTATACGAGTTAATAGACCTCGAAATCGCAAATGAACAAATCGGGCAATCTGAGTACCTCACCCTATTAGTCCTGAAACTCAAACTCTGACCCCCTAACAACAAACCATTACTATTTGCCTCATCCATAAACGTCCTCTCAATCGATTTCCAATCCAAACCACTCGAGTCCTTACCGTCATCGGACCCATAAACATGTATAAACTGAACAATCAATGAATTCTCAAACTGAACAGGAATTCTCAAAGAGGGAACAAGAAGAACCTGGTAAGCACTCCAAGCCAAGGATGCCAAGTTAGCAAGCAACGCCTTTTGAGACCTTGGGCGGCCGTGCAACGCCGCCAACGGATGAAATTCGCCTCTGGGCAAAACCCCATCACCTGAAAGCGCCGGGCCATAATCAACCGGTCCGGCGCCCAAATCGATCCAGATATACCGGTCTTTCCCGGTCCAAATGCTGCCCAAACACTTGGTGAATGCAGGGGAAGAGTCCCCAGATCCGTAATTGTAAGCATAGGGTTTGGATTGCTGACCCAAATCGAGAAAATATAAGTAAACCCCATGAACCGGCTTCTCCTTCTCGAAGTCCTGCTTGATGATTTGGTCGATGGAGTCGTATGGGATTGAGAGGAGCGGCGATCGGAGGCTGGAGGTGGTTTTGGCGAGCTCAGAGCTTAGGGTTTTGGTGAGGAGGGAGGCGAGAGAGGGGGAATGAGAGACGTCCAGGTGGAGAGAGTGCTGGACGGCGAGGCGGTGGGAGAGGGATTCGTAGGGCGATATGACGTGGAAGTGGTTGGAGCGTTGGGAGGCGGCGGAGAGGAAGGAGGAGAGGAGGGCGGTGGAGCTGGCGGGGAAGGAGGGGCCGACGAGGCGGACGTGGAGTGAGAGAGGGAGGGAGAGGGAGAGTAGGGAAGAGATGAGGGAGTGGGGGGCGTGGGAGAGAGGGGAAGAATGGGAAAGGGAGTTTTTGAGGGAGGAGGAGAGAGAGAGAAAGGAGTCGTTGGTGGCATGGCGGTCAAGGCGGGATTGGTGGGTGAGGATGGTGTCGAGACCGAGGATCGGAGCTGAGCTGGCGGTGGTTATGGCGGCGGTTAGGATCAGGAGAAGGAGAAGAGTAGTGGTGGTGGCCATGGCGGTCATCGAGGTCACTGTGATTTCACTGATTTGGCGGACTGAAATGAAGTTGTGCGGCTTGGTGCTTGGGGTCTTTCTGTTCAGAAAGCACTTACTTGAGCAAAAAAAATTCAAAAAGCACTTTTCTTCACGAGTCTTTGTTTTTTTATTAAAAGTGCGTTTCTGATAAAATATTAAATAAAATAAAATCCAAAATTACGTTCTCACAAGCAGTTTTAACTCAAAAGTGCTAACGATAAGTACACTTACATGTACTTCTTAAAAAAGTACTTTTAAATGCTTTTATACCAAGGTAGTGTTTTTCACACACTCATTTCAATTTTTGACCGTCGAATTGAATGAATTGAAAAAGATTAATGACAAAAATTTAAAAAGGTGTGCGTAAGCAATTCTAAGTATATGAACCTTTACTTATAAAAACACGTCGTAAGTAATAGTACAACTCACATTGCAACATCTTGATAAAATCAAACGTTATCATTAGCATCACAATTTAGTAATATTTCTAATTGCAATGTATTAAGTTCGACTTTTATAAATGACAAGCTAGATATCTAATCGTGACAAACTCGACCATTTACTTGATTGACAAGTGTGGAGTTACACAACAAAATGAATCGGCGTTTTCAATAATGGCACTGTTCTTTCTTTTACAAATTTCGGACGTAAGCAGACAACAAATATGAACAAAAGACATCGGCATATCCGTAGGCATTCTTAGATTTTAGGGTTCACCTGTTGGTGTTTGTTAACACTCAAATCCAAAAACGACATCGAACTTTTGGGTCTTCGGGTTTAACAAACATAGTATGGACACAAAAATGTTGTCGCTGAATGCTCCGAGATCATCGTCTCCTTGGTCTTCTGTTACAAAACGGTTGTGGCAACAGAAAACTAATCAGGATACATCCAAAACAAGCACACAAGTTATATATACACTCTAACATCCTTCCTTACAGCTCAAGCAACCACATCGACAACCACCACCGGATTTGATAACGACGAGGGGAGCAGTTTATTTGGAGAGATGGAGTTCATGATGGTGAAGAATGAAGAGATCGCGGGGAGGCGCCGCCTGAGCACAGCAGATCCCGAGGCTCAGGCGGCCCGGTGTGTCAAGAGAAGGAGAAGAGACCCACCTGCAGTTGGTGGCAACAGCCAGAGTCAGCAGCAGTTGGCACAAAAGCCGGCTGATCAAACTTCTGCTGCCACTACAGTAAAGAGAAGCTCGAGATTTCGCGGTGTCAGCAGGCATCGGTGGACTGGTCGATTCGAAGCTCACTTGTGGGACAAGCTATCTTGGAATTCTACACTGAAGAAGAAGGGGAAACAAGGTAGGTTATGACTTTCATCGTCGCATTTTACCTGTATTTCTTTTTTCGCCTGGATACTAATATCGTATCGCGCTTTTGAATGGACTATTTGGACTGAGCAGTTTATCTTGGAGCTTACGATGAAGAAGAATCTGCTGCAAGAGCATATGATCTTGCTGCACTTAAGTACTGGGGAGCATCGACTTTCACCAACTTTCCGGTACAAATTTTACATAGTATATCGAGTTTATATTCAGAAAAGCTAAGAAGTTTAACGTAAAATATCTGGTCTTAAACCTTGATGATTCTGCTTACAGATATCTGACTACAACAACGAAATCGAGATCATGCAATCTGTGACAAAAGAAGAGTATTTGGCCTCATTAAGAAGGTAACATCTTCAAACATCTTTTCGCAGAAAAGACTTTCACCGAGGATTTTCGTTTAATAGTTTCCTGAAAGAATTATTTGTTCCTTTGTTTCAGAAAGAGCAGTGGATTTTCAAGAGGTGTATCTAAGTACAGAGGAGTTGCAAGGTAAAATTCTCAAAATTTCGATGATCTTCAAATCAAATCCTGCGAAATATACTAATGAAGAAAGTGTCTGAAGAACTGTTTGATGAATATTTTGCAGGCATCATCACAACGGTAGATGGGAAGCGAGAATAGGAAGAGTTCTTGGAAATAAGTACCTTTACCTTGGCACTTACGGTGAGTTATCTCATTATTTTTGTTCGAATTCACCTCTCTCCAAATATCGCTCGTATCAGGAAAATATAATGAAACAGGAGTTTCCAATTACTGAGAAATGTGCTTTTATCGCGTTGCAGGTACGCAAGAGGAAGCAGCTCGTGCCTATGACATTGCAGCAATTGAGTACAGAGGGATCAACGCCGTGACCAACTTTGACTTGAGTTCTTACATAACATGGCTGAAGCGAAGAGCAGACGACGTGATAGCTACTCCACAGGTACCAAAGGTCAGTCACAAAGCCCAAGAATGCACCATTCGCGACCAGCAGCTACATCACAACCGAGGAATCTCCCTTCTCACTCACAAAGCCTTTTGCCTCTGATTACGTACACTCTCCTCGAAAGCAAGAAGTTATCGGCAGTAAGCAAATCATCTTCTCCCACTGCGCTTGGCCTACTCCTCCAATCTTCAGTATTCAGAGAACTGGTTCAGAAGAACTCAAGTTTCTCGGAGGATGACAGCACTGACGGCGAAGAACCAAAGAACCAACCGCAGGCTGATAGCGATGATGAGTTCGGTGGAATAATCTACAACGGAATTGGTGGCAGCCCTTTTGTTAGCTCTTCCAACATTGATGGAGACTTTACATGGAATAACTTTACAAGCTCGATTTTCGCATAGTCAATCAACAAAAGCGGATGCCTCAGACTCCAAATGTTTCTTTTTTTGGACACAAACGAAACGAAACAGAACCTGTTCATACTTGTAAATAGCAGAAATGGCGCATCAAAAGTAAATAGAATGAGATTTGGTGCTGCATTTCGTTGTAAATTAAACCACGTAAAGCATTGGTTACATGTAATATTCTCAATAACATCGAGTGTACAAACTCTTGATTTTCCATTTCACCTCATTTTAATCTATAAGACTATTAGACCGAGACTAAGACGCTTTCAAGTTTTTGTTTCATCCATTCTCCTTCGTTTTTGAATTTCAGAACTTTTCAACATGATCATCCTTAGAAAAAAAAGACAGGACAAGAAGCATTGGCGAAGTCCCTAAAGAGCAGACATCCGACTTCTGCAACATCGTTGACACTACCAGTAACAATTCGACTCCCGTTGACAGCCAGGGCACAGCACCTTGTGCTGTTATTTGTTCCATTTTCAATACCACATGTCAAGGAATTGGTCGGTGCACCAGTGTTGGCGTCCAAAACATTAAAATGCCCATCCACCGGACTTCCTGTAACTATTTTGTAGGGATCCATGTGCAAGTACGTCACTGGCCCTCCGTGTCCACCATCTACCGCTATTGGTTCTGAATTCAAGGTGCCCGAGTTCCTCCTTGTATCATAAAGCATCGCTCTGCACACAAGACCAATGAACTTGGAGTTGTATAAAATGGTTTTTGACCTCAAACGAAACACGGGCATTAAAAATAAATGAAACCAAGGGAATTGAATTCTACGCGTCGTACCTGCCATTGCTGCCTACGCAGAATAAAGATTTCGAAGGCATTGCTTGAAAAGAATACAGAATTGCATCTGCTGCTGCAATGACAACTTTCTGCATCGTCCTCAAATCGATTGCTACCACAGAGGAACCAGCAGCAACATAGGCTAGATGTTCATGACACTTGATGCCTATAGGGTAACCGAGAACAGAAGTCGTCCCACCAGCAAACGAAGAACTGGCAAGCAGTGCTGCCTCCGTATCCCACACCATCACCTGTTAAAAACCACAGTAATCAATCATCAGAAAGGCAATGACAAAATAACATAATTTTTCAAGAGGATGGCCGGATTGCTTAAGAACCATAGTTGAATGGATATACAAAACTAAGGGTACCTTAGAATCTCTCGAAATTGTTACCAAGTGAGAAGGGTTGTCCCTACCAGTAAGACCAAAATGAATACGATTACTATGGAGTAAAATTTGTCACCGCAATCACAAGAAACATTTTCAAATGAGTCATTACAAGGAAAGAACTCGTACATGGAAACTGACATCAACTGGATGGGATTTTTATGCCCGAAGAAAGTCCCCAAAGAATGCTTGCCATGTTTCCTGGAAGAGCTAAGAGACCAAAGGCGAACTGTGCCATCCTCCCCTCCGCTTGCCAATACTTTTCCGGATCCATTGCCTAACAATTTATCTGAGAGGGTTGTAACTTGGCTACTGTGCCCCCTAAATTCTAGCCAGCAAAAACCCTGTGACAATATTGGTCTAGGAAATCACATATAATATATAGGAAAGCTTAAAAAAAACAGATATTTGATAGATTTGTTTAGAAAAAAAGATTAAGAGCACACCTTCCTCCATAGCCGAATGGAACTGTCACCGCTTGAAGTTACTAAAACCTTCTCCTCTTCATATGCTTCGCCTAGATAAAAAGATGTTTCATTCCGTGGAAACAACCTGCAATTTATGTCAAGTTTCTTAGGGTTAAAAAACCTGAACATTCCGGGAAAATTTAGTTGATAAACAGTGTGTCATCAAGTTAAAAATCATTAGACAACGACTAGAACTCAAAAGCAATGTATATCAAGTGGAACACAAGAGCTCTGTAAGCGCCCCAAAAGCGTAAGTTAAAATGCTCAGCTGATAAGGACATAGCGAGGGAAAACCGCACACAACCAACCTCATGCAAGTGATTCTTTTACTGTGACCTCTAAGTCTAAGAGTGACGGGTGTTCCACTTAACCAACCATCGGTCCTTATCATGCGTATCATTGAACCCTAACAACAATCAACCAAAAAAAAAAAACGAAGCGAAGTTAAAACGCTCAGCTATTCAAATACATGGAAGAATGTGGTGTAATATGATCATATATATTTATACATACCTGAGAGAAGATTAAATCTTTCTCGTTCAATAATACTTGGTCGAAAGGATTTGAGTTTGTGTTCATATGCAAAGCGAAAGGATCGGAAAACTTGAACTGCAGCCCATCCATACGCCGAGATAAATAGGCTTCTCTAAATCCCGAAGTTACAGAGATGGCAGAAGGTAGTGTTTTCTGGGGCCAGCGCTCCCTGCAAAGAAAGTTTTATTTCTTTGAACAAATGAAAGAAATACGAAATTGGGAAACTTGCACAAACACCACCTCTACGATTTGGAGTGGGCATAAATACCACCCAAGCTAAAAAATTTGACTGTTTAAACTAATACTCCACTCGTAGTGTAAATGTGTCAATCTCCGTTAGAAATCGCATCAATACTCGTCTTGCCAAAACCCCTACACGATTTGGGGTATGAATTTGTTTACTACAACTTGTCTTTGAGAAAACGAAATATCTTCAGTTCATGTGGGATTTGCGCACACCCCTGGTAGTCCATGTGATGTTTATTCAATTTTTGCTTGACAAGAAAAAAAGGAGTAGAAGAAGTACCTGAACAACCGCTGCCAAATAGTGTCAGAATATGCCATTTTTCTGAGATATTTGCAGGTCACGGCAAAGTTGGAGAGGTCTTGGAGGCTAATGGAGCTGGCGCATTGGGCCAGCGTATCCACATTCAGGTCCGTGATGCTCGTCGCCGGCGGCGGCAGCAACCGCGACTTACCCCTCCGTTGCTTGCTCATCTGCTGCTGCAGAAATGGTGAAGAGAATGGCCCAATTTCTTCCGTTGAATATTGGTTAGCTGTAACGATTTGCTTACACTTCAAGTATGCATGCTGTAGTGACTTCCACAGTTCCACTGCTACATTTATAAGAAGTGTGCAGTCCACTTGAAATCTGAACGGTCAATCTGATCAAACGGCTGAGGATCAGGCTTGCTCTCTGCACTCCTTTTTACCGCAGTGCAGAAGTAATCACTGATTTGGAAAGATTTGGGTTTTAATGGTGGTGATTTTTTTCCAGATTTGGCAGAGGATACCATGAAAGTTTTGGAAAACAATTAATGGGGCTTTAGTGCAAACTGAGCACAGCAGTTCAAAGCTATACTTTTACGTACTAGTACAGTTCTGCGTGACCTTTTCAATGGCAGGGGGCACCTGCCCACCCAGACCTGAAAAACTGCCCCTACCGGCTGAAATTTTGCCCGCCCATACATGAAAATTGATGAGCCATGGCAGCTAAGCTTGCGCGAACGGCTCAGTCAAATCCTGGTTGTTAAATTTTATTTTTGACGGAGAGGTGTCGTAGCATTAGTCCGGCGGTGGAAGTTGCAGAGGAGGTTGGCTTCTGGGAAGAAGACAACACTGTTTTTTCTGTTTTGGATTCTTTAAAATCCTTGTTTGAGTTAAACGGGAAGTTTTGGTTCGTCGGCGGAGGTGGTGGTCGGAAATGAATCAAAGCCTTAACTGTTGGGATTTGGGAGTGGATAGTTCACAATTTGGTGGGAAACTCTGAACGGAAGAGGACGGTAAAAAAGTTGCCGTTTAACTGTTTTGTCACGAAGGAGTTGTGTTAAAGTTTCGACTGTACCAACTTACGAAAGTCTTTTGTAGAGGGGAATGTTATTCTTTATCATAATTTTATATTATATTTCTCTACTATATTTGATAGCAGATGAGTTGGACAAGCTACATAATTTAATTTCAATCTTTTTATTAATTAAAACACTTAAATAATTTTAGGTGGAAGATGGAAACTCCTTGTATACCATAATCATCATTTAGGGGGTATAGTCAAATTTGGATTTGAGAGGATTTTAAAAAACTTTAAAATCCTAGTGTAGTCAATTAAAAGATTTTAAAGGATTTTAAAATCCATCCAAATCTAAGTGTATTTAAAAAATTAAGATTTTGGAGGATTTCTATAAGTTGTGGATTTTATAGGATTTGAGAGCCAAAAGTATATATAACCAAGATTAAAAAGAATCCAACCTCACCCCTTAGGATTTCAAATCCTTCCACCACAATCCATTCAAATTCTTCAAAAATTCATATGAATTTTGTAGAAGTCTCTAATCCTCTTAAATCCTATCAAATCTATCACTTTTAAAATCCTTAAAAATCTTAGTTTGACTAAATTTGTGAATCAAGGCCTGCAATTGTTCACCTCTTTGCTGTACCTTGCTGCTTTGGTATCGACCTTCTATGCAACATACACTACCAAAAGGCTAGGGCGAAGGTTGACCATGTTAATTGCTGGGATTTTCTTCATAGTTGATACAGTTCATAATGCTTCATTTCAAGTATTATACAGTTATGGATTTTGGAGATGTATTTTCTAAATAGGTGTAAAGATAAATTTACATATTGAATTGAGTCTGTGTGGGTAGTTTAGGTCCTAAATTTGGATTTGAAGAAATATTGATAGATTAGTTAAAAGTAATATGGGTGTAGAAAGTAAGTTGAGTGTAAAAAGAGGTTATATGGATCCAAATAAAATTTCTCTGAATGTAATAATTCAATTAAATGAAACTTGATAAAAGAATTTTAACTAATTGTAATATGACACTTGGTGTACCTAACTGCATTCGAACATTGAAAATTTTATCTTTTTGAGAATCCATCTTGCCAAAACCACTTATGAATTTATTTGACATAAGAAAAATAAAGGTGCTTGTAACTTATAGTTGTTTTTTCTAAGTACTCGTTAAAATGCTTTTTCAAAAAGCACTTGTGTGCTGTCTGGTTGAAATTTTAATAAAATATCAAAGCATTTGCAACAAAATAACTTCTGGCAGAGACGCTTATGACCATAAGTGATTTCCAGAGAAGCAAATCCCAAACGAGGACAAATTTTATGAACTCACTACGAGACTGCTACTATATTAGCTCTCAAATTGCAATATATATATTCAATTTAACCTCACAATTGTAACATGCTCGATTTCAGGACATGACATATTCCCTCTATGTAAAAACAACCGGAATAATATATGCAAAAGTGCTTATTAGGAAGGAACACCGGATATTGCAAACAACGCAACTGCACCCATCTCTACAATTCGTTCGGGGATAAGATGGGGAGGAGATTTACAGAAGATTATGCGAAAGAACGAAGGATTATCTGTAATGGTGTGTTCTGAGTGCCAATCCGACTAAAATATGAAGACCACGCTGTCGTGAACTCTGGACTTCTGGTTCTGAGCCACACACTCAGATATCCACATCAGATTTCTGATCTCCTGCTCCCTCAATCTCATGTATGCGAAGAAAACACCGTAATGGAACTGCAGGTCAGAGGAGAAATAGAAGTGTTCAGTGACCGAACGGAGAACTGAGGAAAACTGAAGTAGACTACGAATAAACATGGCTGCAAAGTAACTGTAAAACGAACCTGTTGCTCAAATGCTAAGCAAAGCCTTTTCACCTCCTCTTCATAAAATGCCTTGTCCAGCATTTGGGTCTCGCCATAGGATAGCTTTGAAAAAATAGACTGATAAGGAGGATATTTTTCCATGCAACCACGGACCTACAACAAACACGTTGTCAGCTTAGGCGAAGCCATACTACAATGTGATAACGTTAAGAGATAAGCTAATCAACTGATATTAGCATGTAACAGAATCTAGGACAGTGATGGAAGGAAGTCAGAAATATATTCGTACTGATGATGCTATACAGAGAACATGCATGATGTCGTAAAATTTTAATTTACTCAGTCTTGCCCCAAATAAGCAGAAGGCCTTCACAAGAAGATGGAGCAATATCTAAAGTATCATTTTCGGAAAAGAAATAAAAGTAAATGAGGCACACAGCATACCTGATCAATGTCCTCACAAACAGCAAGTTCCTCATGGCCATAGGGATAGCTGTACGAAATAAGTAAACAGTTGTCAGTGATGGCAATCCAAAATATAACATAATTTACAAGTCATCAATAAATCAGGATGGCCGAAGAACTTACAGTAAACCAAAGCTAGAGTACAACTTCCTGCGATCATCTCGAGTAAGCTCAGTTCCGATACTGCAGGGTGTGAACAAATAGCATGAGGCCATGAAAAGAATGCTTAAGACCTCTAAACGTACGACATAAGAAAACTTGTTGACACCCTCAACATTAGCTTACCTATTGATGGTAATATTGACAGCCCTTCTGTCAGCCTCAAAAGCAAGTAAGTTAGACATGATCTCCGCTGTGGCACCACCTAGTTTCTGTCCAAAAGATCAAAAGCAGATTTATGAAAAATGACAAAATATTTAAATGAAAAACTTCACAGATAGAAATACATGCATACTCTCGAGTTAGAAATCAAAATTTACCTGACAAAACCTGTAAAAGTCTTCCAGGTATGCCTTGTAAAGAGTGTTCCTCATGATTTCAATGTTCATGTCATCCAGGTCCTGGAAACAAGAAGGATGGATACAAATCAGAAACCTTCCACAACAATCAAATACTAACCCATTGGAAAATAATGGTATAGGATCACTAAATCGTACCTCAGATGTAATGCATTCAGAAAAGTAGGGAGCAAGTGGTGTGTCAACAAGCACCAATCTGTAAAGCTCCCGCATATTCTGTGCAACAGCCAGGGTGGCAATACTGATGAGAAAACACGAGAACGAGATGAGATTTATAAGAATGTCTAAGTCATAGACAATACTTAAGAGGGAAAAAGGATAAATCAAAGAAAATGGAATACATGACTATGAAAATGACAATACCTGTCAAACATGCCCAAGGGGTGGCATTTTTCCAAAAGTTCCTGGACATCTCTCTCATGCAAGGTTCCAGTAACAATCAGGACAACATTGTCTATCATGTGACCATATCTGTATGAGGATAAGAAACATTAAACTCCCCAATTAAAGCTAAAATTAAATACCGATAAATACCCTATATAATTAAGATTGTAATTTTCACACATCATAGCGATCCTCCAGCCTTGCCGGGGCAGTGGCCTAATGTTATATGCTGAGTACCGAACCAGCCTAAGGCCCGAATCAGGTTTATGTTTTCAACACTTTTCTAGTATTCTAATAAACACAACTCAAATTACCAAACAGAAAATATGGCAGGTACATACGTAATATACTCCAAAAAGGTTGACAAGGGCTCTGTAGCTTGGCATAGCATGTGCTTATACTCATCAACCAATTTAAGAGTGCACTTCTCCACAATTGTAGTTGTATGCAATGGGGAAGGTTCTGCAAGAAAATCCCCAGATAAGCAAAGAACAATAATAGACCAGAGAGAGAGAGAGAGAGAGAGAGAGGACAACATATGGGTTTATAAGTTAAAAATGATCATGCATGTACAAGACATGACATATACGCTCGTAAACCCTCCTCCTGTTTCGAATAGATACTCTCAAAATATCACTTGCTACCTTATGTCTCATATGTTACCCAAATTATTACTAGTAAAAGGTTAAATTAACCAAAATTCTCTTAAAGATCCATCGGTTTTCCAGTAAGCTCAGCATGTTGTTTCCTCTTCAGTTTCGCATTTACACAGTTCCTATCACAAACATAATACTGGAATACCTTAATTATTAATACAACTGCAGATATACAGAGTGATATATCAACTCCACTCTAAATCACTTAGACATAAGGATTTATTTCAATCCATGACAGAAAAGTATCAAACTTTTCATGTGTTCTTAACATTTTCTTCTAACAATTTAACCTGAATATACAAATTCAAATCCCTCACTAATGCGACCTAATATATTCACCTACTGGCAGAATTTGCGCATCCAACATCATAACTTTAGTAAATCACTAACGTTTCGAACACAAAGTGTTG